CAAAAATGGTCCCCAAGGTACCACCACCATTAGGAATGGAACAGCTAGTTTATTCCCACAGAGAAAAAGGAATGCTGAGCAATAAGGAATCACTGAATGATTAGGTCAGAATCTTGAATTTATCATTACTAGTACAACCAGTTGGGAAGCTATACTTAAGTCTCCTTGGAATATATTTGCAAGGCTGCTAATAAACCATTTGAACTTTCACTTCTGAGTGGGCTGTCCAGTTAAATACCAAGTAGCATCTTCCTTCAGAGGCATTCCTCTCCTTGTTGCAAGGCTGCTCCATAGGTTTTCTGGGAGTGTTGTATATTCCCAAGGTTGATGATAAAAGGAAACTGAAAAGGAGAGGCTGGCACCCAGGGGCCCTCAGGACAAGCCCAGCTGTTGAGTCCACATTACACATGGGTTGTGGGGATTTAGAAGGTCCCAGCTCTGCCTTAGGACTGTTCCCTTCCCTTCCTGCTTCCCCCCACTCCCAAGTGGACGCCGCTGTAGTTTGCTCTAAAGCAATTCCCCAAGATCTGCTTCTTCTAGCAAGTATGACATTGTGGGGCATCTGGTGTTCAGGCTTAGTAACTAATAGAGGGAGGGACTCATCCATCAATGAGTCAGTCATACACAGCCAGGAAGCAAGCAGAGGATATCTATGCATGATCTGAAGGGTGGTAAAATTCGTGCACTTGGCTGGCATGCCTAATGAGATGCATGCCATAAAAGGGAATGCCATTACACACATATTACTTCATTTTCATCCTCATAACAACCTTGTGAGGTAGGTGCTATTATTATACCCATTTTATAGATGAGGACAGTGAAGCTCAGTGAGGTAAGTGACCTGTCCAGTGTCACTTGACTTTTCTACCATCCCCCTCACCCCCTTTCACCTTTGTTTTGTGTTTTTTCTTCCCCCATCAGATTGTAAACTCTTTGAGAGCAAGGGTTATCTTTCTTTTTGTTAATTGTATCCCCAGAGCTCACCACAGTGCCTGGCACCTAGTACACACTTAATAAATGTTTATTGACTGACTAAGCATCACACAGCTAGTAAGTATGTGAGGATGGGCTCAAACTCAGGACTTCCTGGTTTAATTAGTCCTGTATCCACTGTATCACTCTGCCTTTCTGCCTCGAGTTTTGGTGTTTGAGGAGAAATAGTTTTGAATTAAAGGAGGATGTTGGAGGAAGTAGTTGAAGACACTGGAGAGGACTTAGAGAAGTGGCTAGGCCTAGGTTTGATGGCTTCTGTTTGTTTAATTCATCTTAACCCAGGCAGCACAACTCTCTGATTCCTTTTCTTTGATATAGGACACAGCTCTAATAATACTCACACTTATCAAGCATGATAGATGACCACGATCACTCCTGCCTATTTTGGAGGGCTTGCCCATGGAACAGAGAGAGAGATTTTCTTGAAGTAGCTGTATGCAAGTTGAAATGAAAAGAGAGGAGGAATAAAAGAGGATATGTGTCTATTTTTGTGAGAACTTTTTCCTGAGGTAGAATGACCTGACCTGGGAGTTTTGAAAGACACAAGAAAAGCAGGAGAAACATGCCATGATCTGAGTATGATTGCTACTGATGGGGAAGAAAAGAGGAGGTAGGGAAAAGACTTCAGGTCAAACAAGACCCTGGACTAATCACCAACAGCTAAGACAGCTTGAGTTAATTGGAAATTTGGTAGTCTGGGAAAAAGCAGTCTTCTTTTTTGGGAGGTGGGGTGAGGCAGGGATAATCTCTGCTTCCATCAGGTTCATGTACCATCGGCTGTCTCTGCCTAGACATGGCCCCTTCTCCCAACTACCAGGCCCACCCCATGATGTTCTGGAATCTTCTGTAGCAGTGAGCTAGAGCTTTATACTGTACCTAAAACATATAAGGGGTAGCCTAATCCCGAAAAAAAGAGTAGGGAGCATCCTTTACAATCATGTACTTTAGGTACAAGTAAGAGATTGATACTGTAACTATAGTTTATGTGGTTGTCCTAATTGGCTACCCTACCCACCTTGGCCCCAGGTTCCTCTAGGCATAGTCAGGGTTTAAAATGTAGAATAATTCACATACAATAATAATAGCAACAGCTAACCTTTATATAGTGTTATGTGTCAGGCACTATGCTAAGCTCTTTACAATTACTATCTCGTTTAATACACACAACGACCCTAGGAGGTAGGTGTTATTATTATCATCTCCATTTTGCTGATGAGGAAACTGAAGCAAAAAAAAAGGTTAAGTGACTTGCCCAGGGTCACATAGCTAATAAGTGTCTGAGGCTAGATTCGAACTTGGGTCTTCTCGACTCAAGGTCCAGGGCTGTATCCACTGAGCTATCTAGCTGTTTGCCAATATTTCATCAAGTTTTTTTCCCCAAATTTTTCTCATTTTGCTCCTACCCTGAACTCTGGGGAAAATCTCCAAAAATATACCCAGTGCCTCACTTCCCATGAAGATTACTTTCCTGCTTTCTATAGCTCAAAAGGAAACAACATCCATATGTACATCATAGAACAGAATACTTTTGCTATAATTAAGTGGAATTAAAGGATGCTTTTTGAGCATGATAGAAAGAACACTGGGTTGGGAATTGGAGGACCTAAGTTTGAATCCTGAATCTACCACTTACTGCCTGTGTGACTTTGAGCCAGTTACTCTGGACCTCAGTTTCCTCATTTGTAAAATGAGAGAGCTCTGGACTAACGTAATGAAATTCTGAGCACTGGCTCAGTGCTCAGGTAAAGGGAGGGCTGTCTTCACACCCAGTAGTAACCATTTTGTTTCTAACTAAATTCATGCTTGGCTTTTCCCAAGGCAACTGGCTCTGGGAGGATCCCTGAAGGGTTGGAGTAGCTTTCTAAGGCTATTGGCTTGAGCCCCCATTGGTGTGTTTTCACCAATATCATACCACTGATGAACTCCCCACTATCCATCCAGCCAGTTAACAACAATTAGCTCTTTAAAGTGCTATTTACTGAAAAGATATCACAAAATCAAAGTATAAGAACAAGCCCTTGAATGGAAGCACATTCTCCCCTCTACTACCTTTGTCCCTGGGGTGAGTGAGCTCAGACATAAAGCATTTCCTTCACCGTGCTTACTTCTGAATTTGGCATGACTGATGGACAAGTTGATCCCTCACTTATAGGACACAGTGTCCTTGTTGTCAGGGTGATACATTGCTGGACTGTGTCAAGCTGGCTCATTGCCAGACTCAGTCACTGGATATTTGGTGGTTCTTCTGATCTCATAAAGCCCTGTATCCACAGAAAGAAGACACAAACAGAGGTGACCTCATCCCAGACACAGGCTTGCCAAGGAGGCCATGGGCTCACAGACCAGCCAGCAGCCAATCAAAAAACTCTTTATCTACCACGCAGTAACAACAAGAAACAATCTTTTGTGCATGCCCTGAAGTAGAGATCCAGGACCTTCCACTCCATGTCATTGCATCCTCCAGAAGCAGGCTCATCAAACATGCCAAGAACCAGGCACTCCTTGGCCAGTCCTCTGTTACAAGGAAAATAAGGGGGTTGGACTCCCTTCCAATTCCCTACATATGATCTCATGCTGCCCTGTCTATGCCTTTCTCCTTGGCATGGACCCCTGGCATATCTATGAGAATTCAGTGTTCTGGCCTGGATGTCTCATAGTAATTGATGGTGTTTTTAGAAGCCCTACTCAGTGCTATCATTAAATACAGGTCTGCTACATCACAGCTCCAGGTACTTCTATTCTCTTGAAAAATTCATTCATTCATTTATCTGTTTATTTGTTTGTAGCATTCAGTTTTGGGAAACATTTGAATTCCAAATTCTCTCCTCTCTTGCCCCTCCCCCATACATTGAGAAGACAAATAATATAAAATCAGTTACACATGTGAAGTCATGCAAAACATATTTATTAACCATGTTGCGAAAATGAAAACAAAACAAAAAATAGAGCAAGAAAAGCAATAAACATAAAGAAAATGAAAAAAGTCTGCTTCAATCTGCAGAGTTCATCAGTTCCTTCCCTGGAGATAGCATTTTTCATCATGGATCCTTTAGGAATGTCTTGAATCATCGTCTTGATCAGAATAGCTAAGTCATTCACAATTGATCATTGTACAATATGGCTGTTACTGTGTACAATGATCTTCTGGTTCTGCTCACTTCCCTCTGCATCAGTTCATGTAAGTCTTTTCAGGTTTTTCTGAGGACATTCTGCTTGTCATTTCTTATAGCACAATAGTATTCCATCACAATCCTATCTGACAGCTTGTTCAGCCATTTCCCAATTGATGGAAAAATCCTCAATTTCCAATTCTTTGCCAGAAAAAGAGCTACTATAAATACTTTTGTACATGTAGGTCCTTTTCCCTTTTCTTAGATCTCTTTGAGATACAGACCTAGTAATGCTATTGCTGGGTCAAAGGGTATGCACAGTTTTATAGCCTTTTGGGTGACATTGTAATTTGTTCTCTAGAATGGTTGGACCAGTTCACAACTCTACTAACAGTGTATTAGTGTCCTTATTTTTCCACATCCCCTCTAGCATTCTCATTTTCCTTTTCTGCCATGCTCATCAACCTAATAGATGTTAAGATGGTACCTCAGAGTCGTTTTAATGTGTATTTCTCTAGTCAATAGCGATTTAGAATACTTTTTCATATGACTACGGATGGCTTTGATTTCTTCCTCTGAAAATTGCCTGATCATACCTTTTGACCATTTATCAACTGGGGAATGCCTCTTATTTTATAAGTTTAGCTCAGTTTCCTATATATTTGAGAAATGAGGCCTTTATCAGAGAAATTTGCTGTAAAAATCCACCTTCCCCCATTTCTTGCTTTCTTTCTAAGTTTGACTATTAGTTTTGTTTGTGTAAAACCTTTTCAATTTCATGTAATCAAAATTATTCAGTTTACATCTGGTGATACTCTCTGTCTCTTTTTTGGTCATAAACTCTTCCCTTATCCATAGATGCTTCTTTTCCATCTCCTGTTTCTGTTCCCCACTATACCTAGGTCTATGTTCCAACCAGCAGGACTTTTACAAAAGATTCAGCCCTTCATGCAGCCAGGTTGGTGGTGGTACTTCATGTGAATTTCCATTCTGAAGACTTCTAGGTTTGTATTGTCCTCCCACAGGCCTCACTAACCAATCCCTGTCCAGGACACCAGAGATGGGAAACCTAGAAGTCATACCTGAATCTAACTCTACCCTCTTCCCTGTAACATCTCTGGCTTTTGGTTGAACACAGTGATACTAAATGCAGGCTTCCAGCCCCTCAGAGGAAGGGCACAACTTAGCCAGGCCTAGAGGAATGATCACAGGACCGTAGTTTTAGAGTTGGAAGGGACCTTAGAGGCTGAGTCTAGCCCCCTCATTTTAAAGAGGACAGGGCAGATGGACAATCTTAGAGAGATTGTCTCTTGCCTAGATCACATAGCTAGTAAGAGTCAGTGGCAAGATTTGAACCCAGGCCTTCTTGACTTCACATCCAGCTCTCTACCCAGTATTCAATGCAGTCACTCATGGTTTATTGAAAAATATTCTTCCTTTTGTGACTTGAAAACAATCCCCACCAGAGGCCCAATTACCTGGTGTATCTTTGTCCCTGCAGTGATGAAGCCCAAATGTATTGAAGCCCTGTGTTCCTCTTCCCTTCTTTCTCCTTAGGTGCCAAGACTTTCCTTCCATGAGTTAGACCACTCCCATAATAAAGGTTTATTGCTGTGAACACCTCTGGCTGGTCTGACATCTTCATAAAATCCTGCAGGGCTCAAAGCAGACGGCAACACACTCAGATGGGAGCAGCTTCAGGGTAAGTGTAATGTTTAGCTGACTATTTACATGAGGAGGGTGGGTGTAGACTGGGTGTATGTCTGGGTAGGAGGATGTGTAATGAGAAGCTATTTGGCCATGCTAACTTTGATCTTTATTGAGATTAGTTTTGATTTCAACAGAGAACAGACTTAGTGACAAGAAGTTACTTTTGAAGGCTTTTGGAGGATTATTTCACAGAATCCCAGAATATGAGAATTATACTACCTGTGTGACCTTGGACAACTCCACTTCTCTGCCTCAGTTTCCTCATCTGTAAAATAAAGGAACTGGACCATCTGGGCTCTGAGGTCCCTTCCAGTTCTAGGGGTGTGTTCCTCTAGGGCTGGGGTCATGATCCAAGCTGGGTGACTTTGGGCAAGTCACTTAATTTCTTTAGGCTTCTGCTTTCTCCCTCTGTCAAATGAGAGTGTTGAATTAGCTGGACTCTGAGGATCCTTTCAGCCCAAGATCTATGATCCTATGACCCACCAGTACAACCCATAACAGAATGGACTCCCCACTACAATGCACCCAACAATGGCCACCCAGCAGCTTTCCTTTGTAATATGAAGTATTAAGAGCACTGTGGGTGCTTGCTCATCAGGTGGTGATGCAATTAAAAATTCAATGGAAACAAAAATTGTAAATTGGGGGAATGGGATAGTTTTCTTATTAGGATCATAGATTTAGAGCTGGAAGGGAGCTCAGAGGCCATCTAGTTTAATTCTCTGTTTTACAGATGAGGAAATTGAGGCTCAGAGAGGTGAAATTGAAAAATGTTGCTCCTTTTGACAATCAAATCTAGGATTCAATTTCTAAGGATCAGAATGGCTAGTCAGGCCCCAGAGCCGATCAGGCCATCAAATACAATTTCACAGTCCACAGTGTCCTGGAAATGAAGAGCTCTCGCTCTTGTCAAGGTCTGGAAGTGGGAAGATGGGGAGAGGGGGAGGGGATGTCAGCTGTTGTTTGGATCTGATGAAAAATTTGGCTGGAGAGAGCAATAGAAAGGACCAAATACTTCACAAATATGCTATCTATCTATCAAGATGTCTATCTAGATATCTTGTCTGTCTTTTCTATCCATCTATTTTTCTATCCTGTCTGTCTGTCTACCCATCCATCCATCCATCTACCTACCTACTACTAAATATCTTCATCCATCCATCTATCTGACATCTCTACCCATCTCTCTCTCTCTCTCTCTCTCTCTCTCTCTCTCTCTCTCTCTCTCTCCCTCTCCCTCTCCCTCTCTCTTCCCTCTCTCCCTCTCTCCTTTCCTTCACAATGCAGAGATTGAAATGGGAATGACAACTTTAACGCTCCATTTATGATACTGTTTCTGGAATATTGTCTCATATAGGAGGGCATATTTGAAAACTAGACCCATCCATATTCCCATCATGAATCTCTTTAGGAGGGCCACACATTTTTCATACAGTATGTATAAAATTCTCTTCACTAGTTCTGGGTCATTATCTATTCAACGACTCAGTCTGAGCCTTCACCAACCTGTCTCTATGCCATAGGGATAGGGTGTTGGACCTGGGATTTTGCTCCATTGTGAAGAGACTTTAGCTACCAATGCAGACCAGTGCCTTCTCTGTGCCTTACTGTCTTAGAAGGTTGCCAAGAACACTGATGTGTTAGATGACCTGCCCAGGGTCATACAACCACTATGTGATAGAAGCAGGAATTAAAACCAAGTCTTTCTGACTCTAAAGCTGGCCTTCGATCCGCTGCACCACTCTGTCTTTATGCCATATCATGCCAAAATGAAATATGATTTTAAAAGCAAATGCCATGAAATTAAAACAATAACAAGGTCAACAACCAACTGAGGTGTGTAGTAATCATTTCCTGTAACCATGCACAACTGGTTTCCATATCTCTTGGGAGAGTACCAATTGACTTCTCATCTAATTCCATTGCTACTCTAATATAGTGAGAGGGAGACAAATTCATAGCCCTGAAGCTCCACATCTGAAGGCACTGTGCTTCCCCCAGGTGGCACTCCAAACAGCACCCACCTCTTTGGAAGCTTCTTGCTGCAGCTTCTGTGGTCACCGTCATGGTCCATATGGAAGGACAGAGATCCAGATACCACGGAGAGCTCTGTATGACTTTTATTTCTCTTTGAGGCCTCCACACCATGCAATGGACAGAGTGCTGGCCTCCTAGTCAAGAAGACCTGGGTTTCAGTCTTATATCAGACAATTACTAGCTATGTGACTTTGGGCAAGTCACAAAGTCTCTCTGAGCCTCAGTTTCCTTATCTGTAAAGTCAGGTGGTTGAACTCAATGACCTCTATAGTTCCTTCCAGCTCTAAAGCTATGATTATAGGACCTTTTCTTCTACTTCTGTCTCTGATGCCACTTGTGTTATGCCTCTCTTATCTCTACCAACAGGTGCCCATATCCTCTCTCCACACTTCCGCTGTCAATGCCAGACTTTTGTGCAAGCTTTTCCTACAACATTTTCAAACCTCCTGGGCTGCAAAGTCTCTTCATCCAATCAGTGACCTTGCTTACTGATATCACTTCACTATTGGATCACATAAAATCTTCTGGGAAATGTAGTTCAGAGAATTTTCTTTTGTAAGTGAGGTCAGGTTGTTATAATAATAATAAGGATGATGATGATGTTAATAATAGTAATAATAATAAGTACAGCTAGGTTGTGAAGTGGATAGAACCCTGGGCCTGGAGTCAGGAAGACATTAGTTCAAATCCAGTCTCAGACACTTACCAGCTATGTGACCCTGGGAAAGTCACTTAGCCATGTATGCCTCAGTTTCCTCATCTGTAAAATGAGCTGGAGAAGGAAATGCCAAACCACTCTAGTATCTCCGTCATGAACATATCAGATTGGGTCATGAAGAGTTGGTCATGACTGAACAACAAAATGGTAATAACAACTAACATTTATGTAGTGCTATGTGCCAGGCACTGTGCTAAATGTTTTACAATTATTATCCCACTTGGTCCTTGCAACAACCCTAGGAGGTAGTTGGTGCTATTATTATCCCCATTTTTTAGATGAGGAAAGTGAGGCAAATAAGTTAAATGACTTGCCCAAGGTCATCCGGCTAGTAAGTGACGGAGGCTGGATTTGAACTCAGATCTTCCTGACTCCAGGCCCAGCTCTCTATCCACTATACCACCTAGAGTTCATGAATAATTCCTCTATATATGCTTTGTTCTAGGTGCAATGTGGGGAAATAGGTTAGCTCTTGATCTTTGGGACACTTGGTCACATCTAGTGGGCCATCTAGGCCTCTGGATCAATGCTAAAGGACCTGGCATTTTGTAATGATGAAGCAATCCTTTTATTGGCCTTGGACTAGAAAGAACCACTCACTCAGTAGGCTTCAAGAGGAGAGACAACTTCTGTTCTCCCACTCCCTTCCTTCTCTTTTTAGAATACTGGCATAGGACTCTCTGAGACTTCCTATAGGAGTGGAGAAGAGTATCCTTCCCCTCAACCACACTGGTAGTAATGCTGATTATCTGCATATGGCAGCTAGAGCATGCGCTTGTCTGGTAGCCCAAGCATGGATCTCCTGGCCCTGGCCTCCTCTTCTGATTTGTTCTTTCTTTCCCTGAATATAGGTGCTGAAACAATGCCCCTGAGATGGATATTTCTAGCCCTGCAGGCAACTTCTCAAGTTCAGGTGTTTGGGAACTGCTGGGTTCCTCAGTCAGAGCTGACTGGCAACAAGAGGAGGTGTTTTAGAACTACACCTTTCTCAGAGAAGCTATGAAGAGATGTCTAAACCCTAGGTTGGCTGGCCAAAAGACATGGATCTTGAGAGAATTGTTTGGACAGTGCAAAGCCAAGGTGAAAATGAAATGTCTATTTGAATGCCACTAAGTGCTCCATGTTTTAATTGTAGTCTTCTTGGGAGAGAGAGTACATGAAGAGTTGTTGTGTCATGTTTTACCTCTTTGACAGTATGTATTCTTGAGTCAATTGTGTCTTTAGCATTGGAGTGGAGGAAATAAAAGCTCTCCTCCACTTGCTCTACCTTATACAGAGAGAATCTTTCTATTCCCTTCTGGAGAGACTCTTGATGTAAGCTAAAACCTAATATCTGGAGTTATGGGGTGAGGATGGGTAGAACTAGAGGTAAGGAAAAGGAATTTGATCCCTTTCTCTAGGGGAGAGGTTCTCTTCCTCAAGACTGAGTCTAGATTTGGGCATGAGTCCAAAGCCAGAGACCCTTTAGGGGAAGAAGGTGAATGACCTAGCTCCATCCTCTCTGCCTCCCAGAGCCCAGCAGGTCTGTTGTTCCACTGAGTTTTTGTAAATAAAGTTTTAACTCCTTTATAGATAAGCTATTGGAGAGTTTTTGATATTTGAATCAGGGTAGATACCTGATCAATTGCCTCTCAGCTAATTTCAGAAGCTGAGAACCAAAGACAAGAATCTTGTTGTGTATCTATCCTGACCTGACCATATTTGGGGAATCCAAGGGTGCAGATATCTTCCCTTGGGGCCCAGAAGGCAGCAGGCATCTCTGAGCCCCTTCTGAGGGAGATGAATCCAGGCCAGCTGGCTTGTTCCTTACGATTGTGAGCATCCCTTGGGTTTATGATGTAGGCTATTTCTCTATCAAGGGAATCCATTAACAATAGGTAACATTCTTCCTCTTTTCCTTTTGTTTTATTATTTTAAGTTTCATTGTTGCTGATTGTGGTTTTACCCTGAAGGCATTTCTTGATGCTCCTGGCTTCTCTCCCCCAGAGAACCTTTCCCTGCAACAAAACAAAAGAAAACAAACAAAAACTCATTGAGCATGACATGGTGATTGCATTGGTCAGTGTGTGCAACATGTAGCATCCAGAATTCTCGCTTTTTTTTTAAATAAGGAAGGTGTTTTATCATTTGTCCACTGGAACCAGTATTGGCCAGTGCACTTCATTTGAGTTTAGTAGCCATTTGGTGGCCATAGTTTGGGCAGATAGGTGACAAATTGTGTGGCTTTAAACTCAGGAAGACAGAGGGGCAGCTCGGTGAGATGGTGGATAGAGCTCTAGCCTTGGAGTCAGGAGGACCTGAGTTCAAATCTGGCCTCAGACATTTGACACTTACTAGCTGTGTGACCCTGGGCAAGTCACTTAACCCTATTTGCCTCAGTTTCCTCATCTGTAAAATGAGCTGGAGAAGGAAATGGCGAACCACTCCAGTATCTTTGCCAAGAAAACCTCAAACAGGGTCATGGAAAGTAAGACGCACAACCAAACAATTGGATAAGAAAGCCTTTTAGTATTGCCTTCCTTGACAATTTTAAGATGTTAGACTCAATGATTCATCAGGTCCCTTTCACCTCTAAATCTATGATACTTTGGTCCTATTTGCTTGTGGTTGATGCATACTTGTTCTCCTGATTCTGCTTTCTCCATTAATTCATTCAAGTGTTCCCATTGTTCTCTTAATTGTTAATACTTGTCTTTTCATAAGGTACTATATCTACAGCTGAAAGAGGTTTCGGAGACTATATAGTTCAACTCTCTCCTTTTAGAGGAGAGGAAACTGAGGCACAGAGGGGTTAAGTGACTTGCCTAAGATCACACGGCCAGTAAGATTCTGAAGTGTGATTTGAATTCAGGTCCTTCCTATTCCAAATCTGGTTTCCCTATCCACTACCATGTTGCCTCTCTTTTCTTAGAGTACAATAATGTTTCTTTACATTCATGTGCCCCAATCTGCTTCCCCAATGCTCAATCCATTGGCATCTACTCTCATTGCAGTTTTATTATTTTTTTTTTGCTAGCATTGATTGGGGTTTAATTGACTGATCGTCTTCCTCAAAGGGTAGGTGTTAGGATTCTCTGTCCTTGGTGCCAAGGGAATAATATGAGACAGTCAGTGCTCAGTGCAGCAGACAGATAATAAAGACCCTTCTTGATACTGTTATAGGATATATGTCAATTACCTTTTGACAAAAAAAAAAGAACATGGCTTTGATTCTTAATGCCTAATAATAATTTCTAAAAATAAACAATAGTGTAGTTTATGTAAATATTTTAGAAGAGCTGTGAGTTTATTGGTAGGGCATTCTCTCTACTAATTTGGACTATATATTGCAACCCCTTCACCAAACTTTTTTTTTTCTGTGGGTCTTCATCAGTTATTAGAACTCCTCCCAAATTGATCAACTGTTGTTCAATGTTCTAGTAACGAGACACATTGAATTTTCAAAGGATCATTTATGGGAGCTCAAGGATGATAAATCAACCAATCAGCAGTATTCATTAAGCATTTCCTCTATTCTGTGTACTGTGGCAGGTTCTGGTCATGCAAAGACAAAAGTTATATAGTCCCTGACCTCAAGGAGCTTACATCTTAATGGGAGAGACAACATATCCATGTATAGATATATTATATTTATGTATGTAATTATTTAAAAGGTCTTTTGGGGGAGGAAAAGAGAGGCACTATCCTCCTCTCTATAGCTTGTTTGTTCTCTCTTTTTTTGGGGGGGGATAAGGCAATTGGGGTTAAGTGACTTGCCCAGGGTTACACAGCTAGTGAGTGTTACGTGTCAGAGGCTGGATTTGAACTCAGGTCCTCCTGACTCCCGGGCTAGTGCTCTATCCACTTTGCCAACTAGCTGCCCCTTATTTATTCTCTTGTTGTCTGCCCCATTGGACTGTGAGCTCCTTGAGAGCAGGGATTGTCTTTTTCCTTTCTTTGTATCCCCAGTGCTTAGCACAGTACCTGGCACATGGTAAGAGTTCCAAACTCTATCCTTCCTCACCCCCTCCTGACACGGTAAGCAATCAGATATAGGTTAATACGTATGTAATCAAGCAAAAACATATTTTCCTATTAGTCACATTGAAGAAGAAGACACAGACCAAAAAAAAAACCACCACAAAAAAAAGATGAAGTGAAAAATAATATGCATTCAGACTCCATCAGTTCTCTGGACGTAGATGGTGTTTTTCATCATGCGTCCTTTGGAATTGTCTTGGATCGTTGTATTGCTGAGAAGAACTAAGTCAATCATAGCTGATCATGGAATAATGTTGCTGTTACTGTGTATAATGTTCTCCTGGATCTGCTAACTTCACTTTGCATCAGTTCATATGGGTCTTTCCAGGTTTTTCTGAAATGATTGTGTTGATATGAGGAATATTTTTTGCAGGTTTTTTATTAATTTATTTTGATTTATCAAGAATCACTTCCTAAATTTTTCTCCCCCTCCCTCCCCAAGATGGCACACAATCTGATATACATTCCTATTAAACATTTTCACATTAGTGATGCTGTAAGGAAGAATTAGAACCAATAGGAGGAACCACCAGAAAGAGGAAACAAAACACAACAGAAGAAAAAAAATAGCAAATAGTCTGCTTCGATCTGCATTCAAACTCCACAGTTGATATGAGGAATTCTAAGAGGCACAGTTGAGTACAGAGGGTTTACATCCAGGTCTGAGGGACAGTAAGTGCAAAGGAATGGAGATGAGAGGTGGAGGGCTGTACGTGAGGAAGACCAAGAAGACGATGCTGGCCGGACCACAGAACACAGCAAGGGAAGAGATGTACAAGGCTGGAAAGCCAGGCTGGGGCCGGGTTGTAAAGGGCTTTAAATGCCAAACAGAGTTTTTATTTGCTCCTGAAGGTGATAGGGAGCCACTGTAGTTAATTGAGGAGGGGGATAACAGTGTCTGACCTGAGCTTTAGGAAAATCAACTTGGCAGCTGTGAGGAGGATGGACTAGAGTAGGGAGAGACTTGAGGCAGGCAGAAGAATGAGGAAGCTATTTCAAGAGTCCTGGACAGAGGCCATGAGCACCGGAATGAGAGTGACAGCGGTGCGAGGAAAGAGAAGGGTTGGATGGGATAGAGCCTGTAAAAGTGGAAACAAAAAGATTTGGCAACAGATTGGAAATGAGGAATGAGAGAGGAGAGAGAGAGAGAAGGGGAGAGAGAGAGAGAGAGAGAGAGAGAGAGAGAGAGAGAGAGAGAGAGAGAGAGAGAGAGAGAGAGAGAGAGAGAGAGA